TAAATATACCCAAATATTGCCCAATTATATTAAAAATAAATGTTTTATCCTAAAAAAGTGCTGTTTTTATCATGAATACAATATATACACTTTCACTATTGTTTGATTTTATTAACCTGTCAATTCCATACTGATTAAACGGTCAATGCACAGAATATATTAATATTCGATAAATGTTCGGTAAATTCCGTGAGATGTGCGCAGTAAGATGTGATTAAATTCATCTTGTTATTTTGAATTAGTTACACTGACCGTTATAGTGCAATAGGGTAAACCACTGGTATATGTTATCTGAATGTTCAACGTGTTGTAGGATCGAGACAGTATGTCCAGTATTTTTTTTTATTCATAACTATTTTCAACATGTTTTTTAAGTTATAGTTATGGTTGTTCCGTATTTAATATGTTTTGCACCTTTTTGTAAATACTATATATTTGTATATAACAATGTTTAAGAATTAATACTGAAAATTCATTCCGATTAAAATCAATAAATGTAATTATACAATATAAAATGTGACAATTCAAAGTTTCTTAGTTGGTTCATATCCGTGTAGACAAATTGCAAGCGCTTGACCATTTTCATTAAAATATACTTAAAAATAAAGAAAGAATAAGTCTAAAAAGAATGTCAAAAAGGGGATCGAACCTCGGACCCCTCATGCATTAGGTAATCACTTAACCGACTGTGCTATTGCGGATGTTACAATATTGCAATATTTGGCTAAATTTGGGTGTATTTGGGTATTTCGTGCCGCCGCATTGAACATAGTTCAATATATTAGACGTTACAGGCTTGTTATAGTTTTATGTTGGTCAAGCCTGACGTCTAATAGTTATTGCTCATAAAAAAATTGAAAAAATGTCTGTTGACTTGCCTTTCAAGCTTTTTTCAAAAGCTTATCTTCTGTTCTTTCAATTGCATGGTCTATCATTAACAAAAACTCTCAAACAATGTAATTATCAATTAAAAATAAAATATAAATATCAATATATTTCGCCTATCGGCCATACTGGTTAAGTAAAGCATTTTACAGATTTATTCCAATTTTTTTAACGGAAAAATATCTTCGAACACACTGACAGTGCATGGGCAATTATTTCATTGAAAAAATATTCCGTTAGAAACTTCTGGACTCATTTAAACGCTTGCATTTTAATTATCCAATCAGATTTCGCGCACTGTATGGCGGCCATTTGTATATCGGTTGTACAAGGAATTTAATTAAATGAGAGGATTTAATCATGACTTTTCGGATGTGACAGTTAAATAATTTTGTTAAGAGGTATTTATCTTTTAGTTTTGTTCATAAAAAGGTCAAAATTAATGTAAATACACACTGTCTTAATTGTTTAAATGCATTAGATCTAAAGCGATGTCTAATGTCAATTTTTTTGCTACACGATTTTGCAAAGATCTGTTAAGACCTAACGTATCATGGAAAATGAAAAATGTAAAATATCAGATTAATGAATGATAAGTATGAAATATGTTACATATAGGCGGCCACGTATAGGTCTTATAATTAGGACTACTGAAGAGGTCTGATTTTTGGCCCATATGGATGAATCCGGGTCAGCCCGGCCCTAAAACATACTCGGGCCCCCGAGTCAACTCGGCCCACTTTTCAATTAGTAATATTTAGGTTTGTGTTATCACTATTTATTGTAATTATTTATAAATTTATTATTATAATACACGGATTGACAGTTTCCGAACTAGCAGCATACAGGCTTTTCTTATCTGTAGAATCAGGGTTCTCGGGGACGCTTATTTCGGCGTCCCGGTACGCATGTTTATTACAGATGGACGCAAATATTTCAGAGCAAGGATTCCACGTACGCTTAATTTTGCCTGGGGACGCATAAACATTACCGATTGTTTACAACCGCAAATACACAAAATGCGTCAGCGCGTGTCAGTCTATAGGTAGGCGGTCCTATGCACATCGACCCGTGAAGCGATTAGCCAATCAGCGATAACGCTTCCGATCATTATCACGCAATATAGTCAAAATATATTGACGTGCCAAAGCTTGATTCTGAGATATTTTCGTTCTGGGGCAGAATCTCGCTTTAATCCTCAATTTGCCCCCTTTTGAAGATATTTGCTAAAATAATTGTCGATCGGATGAATCTCTTACACACTGTGTGAAGCTGTACACGATTTTCCTATTCATTCCGCTAAACGCTGCCTATATACATTTACGTTTTTTTTTCACAAATATAAACTTTTTGTCTTTAGAGTGGACTTATTTAACCAGAATAAAATTTGATTTTGTATAAAAGTGAAAAAAAAAACAAAAGGATTTCCCTGTGTTGATGCATTATAATGAAATAATTTCATAATTAATATTTCAACAATATTTTAATTCAATATTAACAACAAAACAATAATTATACTATGTATTTCAGAGTTTCTTTTGAATAACTATAAACTTTTGAGTCCCATGAAGATTCAAAATATCAGCAATGCTATTGTGAACATTGAATGACTAATCTGTAAACATTAATTGCGACGTGCTTTTGGACTCCAACTTTTTCAGGGTTGGGAGTCCATGGACTCCATGTTTTAAAGTCCTAGTGAGAACCCTGAGAATTGCGAGTAAAGATCACCGATTGCGTATCTCATTGTATTTCTGACTGGCGGTAGGTTTAACCGTAAATTTAAATACCTATTATTATCAATCAGTGTGTATGTTAAATAGGTGTTAATTATGATTGATGCATTCATTCAAATTTGTTTAGTGACCACCTGCAATTAAAAAGAAGCTTTTATGATATTAAGTAAACGTGTTTTTGTTACACTTTTTCTTTTAACTATTACTTTGCAAACAAAATGCATCTAAGGAAACACATTTTTATTAGAAATATATTAATTTTATCGAATCTGCAAGACAAAAAACATTTTTTTTTCTTCTAAATATACTTTATTTCGGCAGAAGTACAATGTTTAATTATATAATAATAAGATATTTCTTATTATTCTCATGCAAAGCAAAGTGAATACGTTATATATATTTTTGTAAAGTGGGCCGAGTTTTGACCCGTGCCGAGTTGACCCGTGCCGAGTTGGTATAGGGCCGAGTTGACTCTTTTCCATAAGGATTTCTAGCAAACAATTTAAATAGACTGAGTTGAATATGTTCTAGTACCAGACTTTGTCTAAAAGGGGTGAAGTGTTTTCATATTTTGAGGAGTAAAGAGTCTGTGATCGAAGTGTCTTGTTCTCGATTTGTTAAAGAGGTGGGTGGGGTAGGTTTCAAAACTTCAATGAATGAACTTACCCTCCATTAAATGAGTAAGGGCTAAAATAACTTTGCTTTGGCCCAGCAATCTGATAATCTTCAATTCCACCCTGATTCAAAACATCCATTTTTTGAAAATAGTTCTTTAATTGTAAGTTAGTTTCGGTGACAATGCACAATGTTGTTTTCTTGTAAATCTCGCAGCAAATCACGTTTTAAATCTTGGAACCAAAATATTTAAAAAGTTTTAACCAATATATTCTGACTTTTTGAAAATAACTTTTGTGTTTTTATAACTTACTGGGGTGAGTAATAATAGATAAATCACTTTTATAAAACTAAAAGTCTAAATACTTATTTTTACGCTACTTTTGAAAGTAAATAAACAAAGTTTAGAGACTATAAATCTCCTAAACTCCGAGATTATTGAACCGGCGAAAATGGTACGAAAACAGAAATATTTAAATGTCATATTTGTTGTTTATTACTTTCATGGTGCTGATTTCATCAGACATATTTGTTGCAAAGACTAAAATTGAGCTTTTTGTTGGGAAGTTTTTGTGTGACATTCGTAAGATGAACGATTAATGAATATAATCACTAGTTTTCGCGACACAGTTTTTCAATAAGAAGAAAAATAATTTTAACAATGAATAAGAACTAAGTCACATTCACCGTTACCCCCATTAAAATAAATTGGAATGATGGTTAATGCTGTATTTCTCACAGGTAGCAGTATCGGTGTTTGGCCTCTAAATACAAAACCACCTGTGGAAAAAAAACACTATAAAAACTGCCACCTGTGGTACTTCAGGTCTAGGATTTCATGTATTTCTGCACTGACAGTAAATTTATGAATACTCTAGAAAGTTTAGATTTTTCAATCCATTAATTAATGTTTTATAGTAAAATCCGCATATTGAGGTGTGTTTTTATTTTTATTATTTATTGTTTATACGGGGAAGTAAAATCCAGGCTTTGGCTTGCCCAGCTATAGACTACACGGGTAGACAGACGTTTCACTCCAAGGTGGTTCACACCAAGAGGTTTCATTCCCAAATGGGAGTGAAACGTCTTGAAGACGTCTCTCTGCCTTTTTATACCAAAGGCCATCCTTAAAAAAATGTTTGTTTGCAGTAACGCGACCGACTCACAAAATTTGCCCCTACTCAAAATTGTTTTTCATGGTCTGGATAAAAAAAATTTTTTTTGAATCAGAAAATTATGCCTTTTGCTTTGTTTTCGTTCTTTTAAAGGTTAATAGAAGAAATAATATGAAATTAGGCAAAGCCTATGAACGGGGAAGTCGTTAAAAAATCCTTTCATTTTTCCGTTTTAAAGGTGGCATTCGGTATTATATGTACCCACTTCTGTTTTCACTTGGAACACTCGACGATTATTATTAATCCGAAAAGTTGAGATTTGTTACGTTATCGGAATACACCGCCTTTTATCATTGAGTTACATTGTAAATGGCGGCGCCTATCTAGAACTGACACTGAAAATTTCATTGATAGGTATAGAACTCTATATATTTTTTAATTGTTTTTTATTTGAATTTTCTTTTAAATATACACATGTAGTCTATAGCCGGGCAAGCCAAAGCCCAGCGAGCCCGGACTTTGACTTCCCCGTAAAATGTAGGTCTTATTAAATTAGAATTCAGTTATCAATTTATTGATTGTTACCAGATTATCAAAGCATATATTGTCCAGCATTTTGAAATTCCATGTTTAGGGTAATTCGCCCTCAAGTCGGACAGGTTTTTCAGGTTACTCTTTGGTACGTCTTTCCTCTCTTCACAGCGGAGACTAATGCATGCGGGATATTTTGTACTTTATCTTAAGAGCGCTTTTTAAAGTGAGAATATACTATATCTCAGACCAATGTCATCAAAAGTACTTAAATAACTTGATTACTCAATTTAGCCCTAAAGTCGGACACATTTGCCATTGATTCGGACATTTTGATTTAGTAGTCTGAAGACTGTAAAAACGGTATGAGGTTTCTTATCAGTGAAAAGACTCAAAAGAGTAAGAGTAAATACATTTTTGAATCATAATTTTACGTGTTTATCAATAATCAGGCATCATGTACACAGTGCCGTACCATCCCAGACATGGAGGATTGATATCAATAGGGTCATCAGTCGGTGTCCCGCTGAAGACTTTTCCGTGTCAAAATATGAATCTGGAACTTATTTGCAATCATATTTGCAAGTTAATTTTTCTAACCCGTTGATGCCATACAGTTTAGTAAGCTGACAGGTACATATGTGTGACCTTAAGATATTGTTTACGACTGCATAAATGACTCCGCCTTCATTGAGTATGCATGTTTTGAAGCCTTGATAAGATGGCCTTTAATGATGATTGACACTTCCAGCGCACCAAACGATCTGTCGTACCTGTCAATCACTTGTCTCCAGGATCCATTAAAACTTGTCTAGATAAATAGTTGCGATTTTTTTATAAATATATAAATATTTTTGTTAATTCGTTATTGACATTGCAATGAAATAAAACACAACAAGATTATACAATTCAACATTTTTATCATTGAAAACATGAAATATGTTTATCTTGCTTTAAATTAGCCAACGTTGATAAAATAACATTGGGTAATTATCAAAATGCTGGACATAATAAATGCATTCGGTTTAATTGTTAATGATTGTTTAATCGAATATAAATACATCGTATTGTATTTCTAAGATATCTTACACACAATTCCTTGATCTGAATGTATTTTATGATGTATATTCATTATTTAATATATATATCAACTATCAACGATGTATATTTTAACTCTACAAAGCAAAGTACCTTTACCATGAAATAGGATTTTAAATAATGCATGTACACATATTTTCTGTGTTCAGTCTGTGTCAGCGGTTGTAATACAGAGTGAAACAAGTTTTGATTATATATCAGAAGATTTTTTCAACAAAACGTTTTCAAAGATGTACATGAATTAGCTAAAGAAGAAAGATAAATATGTTTGAACTACAGTATACCTACAAATTTTGAATTTCCATTGACGGGGATAGGTATACATTTGAAATTAATAGAGCATGGAAATTATATATGTTGTTAAGAAAAAAGTGTTGTCTGTCAAAGCAGTACCAATGACGGTATGGCCTCGACATTAATTTTAGTACTCAAGTGTTTACAAAACACAAGTTTTTGTTGCAATATATAAATATGTTTTGTTATGAAAGTAGAGAAATGTGAATTTTATTTTCATCATGTTATATTTCAGCTGTTTTATTCATTCTTCAAGTCATTGGTTGGAAAAGATGTTGTGGTTGAGCTTAAAAATGATCTCAGGTACGTTCTATTTTTGTTTTGGCCGATTTTTTGGTGCTTTGTCTTATTTCAATGCATCTAGCTTGTAGAAATTCATGAAAGCAGCTTTGCTGAAAAAAATAGAAATGATCAGGATTCTATATTTTTCCTGTAATTTTAGTTATATTATATATTCAGAATTTATCTCTCTGCTAATATCATTGCATTCAGTGCTTTAAATGTCATTTATTATCCTGGTGGCAAAATCATATTTTTAATACTTCATTACTTTGACTTATATATCCTCAGGTGTCTAATACATGGCCTTGAAACAAAATAAGTTGTGTCAAACTTACCCTATAAGGGCCTCTTTGGACAAGTATTTAAGATTGCTTACTTTCAAACACTTGCCTCTTACTTCAGTGGGTTTAAAACTTTGGATTGTTTCATGTGAGGAAGTTATCCTGACTGGCTAAGGAAAGGTTGGTGGTTCTACTCAGATGCACAGCCTCATGCCCGAGATAAAGCAGGATGGGAATTTGAGGTCTTCCAACACCACTAAAGCTCGAAAATCGCCATATGCCCTTGATATAGATGTTGTGACTTTATCCCCACACAAGTCACCCTGTAAAAATGCATATGGGGTTGACCATGGCTACTTGAGGATATGCTTTGTTCAAATAACAGATTTTATATACCTACATACTTGTATAATTATAAATTATATATATCATAATTATGTGTTATTTGCAGTATTTGTGGGACATTACACTCAGTAGACCAGTTTTTAAACATCAAGCTTACAGATATCAGCGTTACAGATCCAGATAAATACCCTCACATGGTAAGTAGTACAATTATACATGCAATGAACCTTTCTAGGTGTTTTAGCTTGACAAAGAAAAGAACTGGGACGGCAATTGTATTCACCCTGGCATTGTTGCTGTCACCTTTTGATTAAGTGATTAAGGGGGTTATTGCTCAAGGCCCATGACTCTTAACATGGGCTTTTGAGATAAAAGAATTATGGCCCTTTTTGAACTTAAAATTTACATCATCCATGCTGTTGTTTTACTATCAAGTACATGTACTGAGAATAGTGGAACATATTTTCCTATTTACAGCTCTTGTTTTGCAGTGAATTATTTAGCCTTGCCCTTCCTCTTTATTACTTGGTCAATTTCTCACAAACAGAGTCACAACTAAACCATGTGTTCTTTTGTTTAAACCAGTGACAATGTATTATCCAAATGTAGTAATTGGATAGCCAGTCAGCAAATTTGCATAAAACTACCACTGGAAAGGTTCATTCATCTGTAAGAGTTAAAGTGGTTGTTGTATCACACTTCATGTTCATTACTATGTTTCTTCCATGTGCTAGCTTACAGAACGTATCGGCTAGTCCAGTATTACTTGTCAAGCTGTGTACTTGTCCAAGTATATTCCTGTATTGTACAATAAAATGTATAATAACCTATAATAATAAGTTATGTAATTTTCATAGGCTTGCTTATATTTTCTGTATAAACTTACAACAGTTTATTCTGTGCCATATAACCAATTGAAAATCTGTGAATCGAGACGGAGTAATAACATATTAACCTATAGCTCTTCAGCGCTTCTTATGTAAAATTCTTCCAAGTATAATTTCCAATAACCGTAAATTATACCATACCCAAGACTATGGTATAATTTTCAGTTTTTCTGGGCGGAGCAATAGGTTAAAACAGTAGCGTCATGTTATTTTGATTGACAGCTCATTTTTTCTGGGCGGAGCAATAGGTTAAAACAGTAGCGTCATGTTATTTTGATTGACAGCTCATTTTATGTCATTTCTGCTATGCAAATTAAGATCGAAGGAGTAAGTGTTTCTGGGCGGAGCTATAGGTTAAAACAGATACACCATTGGTGCGTCGGCGATTTCTGGGTTTGCATAAATTATACCAAAATTACGTGACCTTTCTTATGCAACCTCACTCGACTTCGTCTCGTGAGGTCAAGGCATAAGAAAGGTCACGTGATTATGGTATAATTTACGCAAACCCAGAAATCGTCAACGCAGCAATGGTATATCTATTACATACACAACATAATTATGCAAATTGAAATTTGTATATTATCATTTTGTTACAGATGTCAGTAAAGAACTGTTTTATCCGTGGTTCAGTGGTACGGTATGTTCAACTACCAGCTGACGAGTGTGATACACAGTTGTTACAGGACGCGGCACGGAAAGAGGCAGCTCAGAACAAACAAAGATGATACTGTTGTTGTCATTGTGTTGTTTATATGTGTAACTTTGTAAATATCTCACATCAACATTCGTGTACAGTCATAATAAACAGCCATGTTGATCGTTAAAATTGATTCTGACAAAATAATGGTGTAAAAATTTGGCACCCTATTCAGTGGAGAGTGTGAAATAAGAAAAAAAGACTTTAATTCTGTGTGACATTTTTATTCATTCATTTATTGTGATTGTTTGCCGACATGAAAAATGTCATGAAACTTGTACTCGTAACAATGTCGATTTTCGACAAAATATTGATGGAAATCTTATTTTTTTCTTTCTTTTTATATATTCTTTTTGTTGTTGAAAGATACCAATTTTATTTTCAACTTTTCTGGATAAAAAGAAAAAGATCTAATGTCATCTGTCAGAATTGATTACCTTATCAATTGTTGATAAAAGATTGATATGTTGATAAAAGATTAATTTTTCAAAGCCGGTGTTTATTGCTATGAACTATTTATATTATAATTCAATGTAATTATACATACTATTGTGCTGTTACTTGCTGATCTCCAAAATAAAAAACTTTTAGGTTTGAGAAAAAGATAAACTTACTTCCTGTAGGATAACTTTTCTGGAAAACACAAGCTTAAATTGTTATAGAATTTAAATCGAATATTGGTCGAACAGTCTTTATCTTGCTCATAGTTTAAGAGGATATTTATTCACCAATTAGTTGTAATTATAGCCAACCCAGAGAAATATAAACTAAGTCTCTACCTTTCATACATGTATGTCAAGGCACTGGGATACAATTTGGTGATGGCAGGGGCTTTAAGCAGGGATGTAACCATCTAATTGTCTCCATAGAGCAGGGCCTCTAGAAGGGGTTTGAAGTTTATTATTCCCCAGGACTGAAGGTTGACATATGCATAAGCTCGATGAATTGAATATTCTAACACGATCGGAAATGTTTCTATATAAACAAAGAAGGCTCGATGCGTGCATTATTCTACAACAATGCACTCACCGTTCTAATTATCTCCCGGTGTATTTTCACATTGAGGGTTTTGTTTGAAAAATATGATAACTAAAAACAATTTTTTGTCTAATTTTGTTGCGAAAACTATCTAGAATGGAAGAAAATAGTCTAAGATAATGAATCTGTCAGAACACCAATATCTTTAATTCAGTCGTTAACACTGTACAGACGTTTAAAATGTTGTTTACGTGACGTCACAATGTAGCGCCAAAGAGCACGTGCAATACAATCGAATCAAGTACGCTATTTTAATGTCGCAAACGAGTTAAGTTTTACATTTATTTCACTTTTAATGATTTGTATTTCGCTTGAAAAATTATAGAGTGAAATAAAATAAACAAACAAAGTTTTATCAACGTTTTCAAAATTAGTTATTCTCAAAATGTTTCTTCTCGCGGTATATTTAACGACAGTTTTTTCAACGCACTGGAACAGCCTTTAAAGAACATTTCTATTGGAAACTCTGAGGCGAAAACAAATTTAACCACCAAACATAAAGTCCAACTTTGAAATAATAATTAGATTTTTTCTTGACGTGTTAGAATGGAAATAGATATTAATTCTTCGTGCATTATTGTAGAATAATGCACGTTTTTCGTTCAAATGCATTGTAATTAATCACTCAGGCCTATCGGCCTTTGTGATTATATTACTACGCATTTGAACTCAAACCGTGCATTCTACAACAATGCACTCAGAATTGATATCTATTCCCTAAATATGAAGCTGACCTATAAACCATATTATTTGTGCATTCAGTTTTGGTCCAAAATTGGCCTCATCTCAAATCTTTTGTAAACATGTACTGGTACTCACAAGTGATGGATTGTATTATAAAGGGATAACATTTTTTTTATCAGTTTAACACTACCCAGTGATAGCATACATGTTTAATTTAAATTAATGCAGATAGTGAATTATAACAGAAATACTGCTTATTGTAAATGAATAAATGCTGTACAGAATAAAAAAATAAAACCAAAAAAAAAAAAAATTGTTTTAATATATATGTCTTCTTTAAGTTTGGATTTATTGTTCAATAAAATTATGTTAGTTGATAATACATAAAATGATTAAATATACAATGAAAGCATCTTTCAGTGCACAGCATTTTAATAATATTATTTGGGAGATTTTTGGAACAGTTTTAGTTTAATTTACCCTTTGAATAGTGATGATCATGCATTCAACAAGAACCTGGATTGTCTGTAGTTCCAAATATTATACATGTTATATAAAGCAGTATTCGATTATTATATACCAAATAGGCTGATTAAGGTTTACTGTTGGGTTCATTTAATTTCTTGTGTGATTTTGAAGCAAAATAACAAAAACTGATCAATTAGGAGTGTGACTAAAAAAAAGGATAGGACCACCACACTAAATACCGTATTCGGGTATATACCGGACATTAGGTGCTTGAATGATTAAATGCTAAAATCTTGCCTTTTCATCCAACGGAATGAACTTTAAAAGGTCTTATTCATCATTTCACACCGAATTACGTATGATAATAAATGAAAAATGTAAGAATCAGCGAAAAGAAAACGATATTTGTCTATTAATTTATCATGATTTCTGCAAGTGTCTAGAGGTACTGCTCCAATCCTGTATTGAGTTAAATCCATAAATTAGTAGGTCTTGGCTTCTGGAAGATGTCTGGTCATGACTCAGTGGAGTCCCTTGAAGTCTTTATCCAAAATTTTGCAAACTATACATATGTCCTAAATCAAATGGTAGTTTTTTTTCTGACAAACACAGGGTCACAAAATGAGCTTTTGATTGCCCTCTACAAAAGTAATAAATAGGGTTCCAGTCTGATGCATAAATAGGTCACAGGGTGCTAAAAAAAGACTTGTAAAATGAGGTCCCTTAGTTCTGATTTGTACAGTAATACACATTTAAATCTACTTCTATGTAACTTAAATGCACAGAGCTTAGATACTTTGCATGAAATCTTCCAGACTTTAAAAAAAGTTACATGAATTATGTCTATGGGCCAGAAATAGCCCTACATTGATCATTTATTTTATAATGACTAGTATAGAAAAAAGGCTTTAGAAATTTTCTTAAAAAACTGCACGGTCCAGTCTCAGGTTCAACATTTGGTATATAGCATCACCTTGTGGTGTTTTACAAAATTTTTATGACCATGTCCCCAACAGACCCAAATATTGATTTATATAATATAGACTTTATAGTCAACTGCATAAAATAATGTTTACAGATTATGAAAAAACAAAAAAAATTTAAAAAAAAAAACAAAAAAAACAAAGATTACCAAGCAAAAATCTATGTTACAAACAACTGAATATCAAATATGTATGCATTCCACTTCATATAATTTTCAGTTACAGCTAATTCTGGTAGATATTTACAGAAATTTCCTTTGGGGCCATGTGAGATATTTATAGTTTGTAAGAAGTAAATCATACCAGAGAGCTATGATGTCCCTGTTATCCCCTGACTGAAGTAAACACTGTTTGCTATGGAAGTCACTGGTTGCCATAGAAAGTCAATGGTTGCTATGGAAGTCAAAGGTTGCTATGAAAAGTCAATGGTAACTATAGAAAGTCAATGATTGCTATTTAAGTCACATATTGCTATGGAAAGTCAATGGTTACAATGGAAAATCAATGATTGCTATTGAAGTTATTGGTTGCTATAGAAAGTCAATACATGTTATGGAAGTCAATGGTTGCTATTGACCATCATCGTTTACTAAGGAAAGTCAATAGTTGGTATGGAAGCTATTGATTGCTATGGAGCTTTCATGTTTATTAAGACGAAGAATTTTTTAACATTTTACTATAATACACTACATACAAGGAAAATCCATGACTGTCCCAGAGTTGAGCTACTTTAGTCCCCAGGGCTTTTATTGTAAGAAACTTGATAACATTTACATAATGTACTTTGCTACAGATACAAGTTTATATAAACTTTTTGACCCCTGGGGCAGTACCAATTTTGACACCAGGGCTTCAATTTGAACATACTTGGTAGAGGTCCACTAAACCATGTTTCATGCTAAAACATCTAAGCTTTAACCTATTTGTTTTAGTGAAGAAGAATTTCTTTTATTAAGTTTTTACTATATACGAGGGTTGTTCGGGATGTTCTAGGAATTTTGTCATATCTCCTATATTTTTTGTTTCTAAGACGTAATATTTTGCACATACTAAGATTAGCATATCACGGAACTATTCCTAAAAATTGAATAGAATCAGACAACAATAGCCGGAAATAGCAGTAACCATAGCAACACTATAACACCGCACCGGAGCAGTCCGACTCTAAAGAAAGGTATAACGCGCTACACTAATAATATTTCGTAATTTTGATAACGTAAAAAATGCGCGAAAACGCTGGTCAGCAGCGGAACGTCATGACGTCATTTCCTGAAAATATCATAACGTTATTTAAATTCTCAACGGATCAACATTGTTTTAAAGTTGTTGCCCAGAGCCACTGAGTAAACAATATGACGTCGATAGGTGATGTTGAATTGCGAAGCATCGTGAAATTTTGTGTTGCGCTGGTAAAGTCTTCCACAGAAACAATGAAAATGATACAGGAAAATACAAGAAATGCAGTCCGGCTACAGTGTTTAGATGGCATGCTCGTTTTAAAGAAGGAAGAAACCCTCCATACAGCCCGGACCTCGCTCCGATGGACTTCCGTGTGTTCCCGGAGCTCAAATCACAGCTGCGTGGGAAACGCTTTGACTCAGCTGACGATCTTGTTAAGCATACGCAAGCTATAGTCGCCTTTACCGATAGCTGGTATGTGGAAACATACAATAAGTGGATCAGCCGACACAGGAAATCCATCGAAATTGCAGGTGACTACGTTGAAAAGGTGCGACGATTGATGGACTTTAACGTCGCATAACGTTGCAAATGACGTTGGCGTGCTCCGGGTGTTTGTTATATGGTTATTTACTACTTTTATTATGTTTTAGTTTCTGTGTGTATGATGATGATATTTTCAGATACTGTACAGTATATATTGAAATAAATGCGTATATATTTATATTTACGCTAACCCGACTACAACGTGTGCTATAAAACAATTCTCAGAACTTCCCGAACAACCCTCGTACATACAAGGAGAACGCCTCTGGGGTGGGATCAATTTTAACACAAGGGCTATAATTTGAACAATTTTCTAGAGATCCACCACACAATGTACCATGCTAACTATCTAAGATACAGGCCTAGTAGTTTTCAAGAAGATTTGTAAAGTATTTACAATGTACTATTAAAGGAAAAGCCATGAGCCCACTAGAGTTTCATACAACGATGCTACACACAAAATATCTAAGCTCTAGACCTTGCACTTTCAGAGATGAATTTAAAGATTTTACTTTTAAAATATATTTTTCAGCCCTTCCAACCCAGATGTTCAATGAAGCCGAACCATTTGAACAATTTTAGTAGAACTTTATGCTAGGAACATCCCAGGAAAATGTTATCAAATTTGACCCAGTGGTTTCAGAGGAGGTCGAAAAAAAGTTGAAAATGCCATGGACACCGGACAAATTGTGATCACAAAAGCTCACCTTGAGCACTCTGTGCTCTGGTGTGCTAAAATTGAAATTATGGCTAAATGTACACTTAATTTGACTTTCACGTGTTCACTAACTAAATGATTCCTTCGGCACATTGTCACTTTAAACTTAGGGATGGCAACGAATACTAAAATCAATACTCGAGTACTCTGTCATTTTTCCGATCGAGTACTCGGTTACTCGGATGATTTCCAATGATCTTTAAAGTTTTATCACACAATATCAACACCGTCTGCATGCTACTTTCGTTTTCTATTTAATTCATAACTATAATTAGGACTGCAAGAAATACATATATAAATATAAACATAAGAAATGTCAACGACAGCATTTATTTTATACCTACAAATTTTCTCCCATGAACTTGAAGCGCAAATACGCTTCAACGGATAGAAAATTCCGTATAAATGTAGCATTTGGAAAAGGAAACCAAAATTATAAAAGGCGTGTACGGTTTTGCAAAAATTACGTATTCATCCGTTGGTCATAAATTTATTTCTTGACAGCTACATTTCATTTTCTGAAATTTCTTATAGAAGTGTAGTATAATGAAAACCATTTATAATTCAAACGAAAAGGTATATAATAAAAGGAAAATTATGTTGTAGCCTATGCATTTTTCTACTCGCGATGTTGGAAAATTGATATTTCGCTCGACCTTCAGTCTCGTAAGATAACAATTTTTCCACCACGTTTATATAATTAACAAGTTTCGGCTACAAACTGTCTAATATTTAAAGGTGATTAAATATCATAAGAGGCCGAATGACGTAAACGACACATGACTGTGTTCAATCTCATACGCGTGTCAAACTGCTGATCGCATCGTTAAACTTACGATATCATTTTCACACCTCTGCAAGGATGTTTTGATTGCACTTAACAAGTATTTATACAGATACCTGTACATTTTGGAATTTCTGAACTAATCTTACTAAATGGCAAAAAAGTAGAAATTCATTTTTTTTTTCCGAGTAATATATATCAATTTTGTTGACCTATATTCGGACATTCGATCAAGTACTCGGTTAACCGGTTACTCGTTGCCATCCCTACTTTAAACCTTACCAATAAAGGAACAACACTTTTTAATGGATGATAAAAAGCTGTTTTATTTAGAACTGAACAAGCTGCTAAACGTACAACCTGTGAACTTTTTACAATGTGAACTGCCTGAAGAATATCCACTTCCATAAATCCATGAAATAAAAAACTCCAAAATGTTGTCTGCCATAAGAATGTTATCAACTCATGCTTATATTTATGTTAATATTAAGGTAAATATCTGTTGAAAAAAGAAAAACAAAAATTACCAAAAACATTTTTCAATATCAAAGTAACTAATCCCATTATAAGCATTATGGCATCAAAGCAATATGTTATCTTAAAAACACTTTAAATTCTGACAACTTTCACTGTACATATATAAAAAAGCAACAGTTTTCAATCCCATTCGCCTTGCATATACATCATGTGTACAATATATAAAGTATATACCCAAACGTAAAACATTGGAACATTGATAAAATATTAACATATTATTCTTTCTATTTTCCAGCTAACTCTTTTAAAGAAGTAAATTTTAAATATGCCAGAATGAAAATACAATGCAAAGTGAGTTTCAGTATCCAAGGAGCATTGACTTGTTTCCATGGTTACTGAGCAGTTTAGCTACTGTTTGGGTCCTCCGAAAGGCTTTCCTCTGTCCTTACCTCGAAGCCTGACACCTGGTAAGTAAAAAAAAAAAACATAGATCAGCACTGCCTTTCAACAGCCATTGTCAACAACCAATAAGACCCAAGAATTATTATATTCATGCTACATTTTTTGTATATCAGCATCTAAATTCCAATACAACACAAAAACACTCTGTGAGAAATAAATAATCAGTTTAAAACCACAAGTTATTGGTTAAAAACATATTTTTCCTATACCAATTTAAAGATACATGCAGGAACAATATTCCAAATTTTCCCAATTTTCACCTTGGTTTCATATCTCTAATTTTTCCGATACAATTTTCAAATAAGGCTATATACCTGTGAATTCCCTTTCCAGCCATGAATGGGGTGCACAGAAATAAACTGTAACTTTTCTGTTACTTTAGCCTAATCCCTATGCCTTCATGATAAAATTAAAATAATATTATAGCATATAATGCTATATATAACCATACAATGCTATTATATACAATAAGATCTAAACTTTCCCAAATTTGAGAATTTACAGACTCATTAAGTAGGTGTACATTTAGCTTCAAAACTTTAGGTAATAAATTGAGTATATAGCTTACCCAAATTACGCTCCAACTTGGACATGATAATGTTATTAGGTATAGCTTTACCAGATTCATATTCGTTTATCACCTGCGGCTTCTCATTTATTTTCTGAAACAAGATTATTATTTCATTAATTTTAAATAACAGATATGACTTTTCTTGGTGATCAAATAAATTGATAGATTCCTACTCTGACCTTTCATTTGAATAACAATAGATTTAACCACAAACATTGACATGTGCTCTTTTATTAACAAATATCGATGGCTCAGTGCAAAACTCAGCTAACTACATTTTTTGAAATTTTACAGGAGGGTTGAAAAACTGTCTAATTTTTTCCCCTACTGGTACCTTGTAAATATTCTATTAGTTTTGTATCATATTTAAGGCCTGAAAACTTATATGATAAGTCATTTAGTGATGGAATTCATTTTAATGGTTTAAAAGCAATAATTAGAGTTAGCATGGGTTTTGCGCTGAAAACCAAATACTTTTCTGAAAGCAGTTGAGCGCAAAACTAGGCTAAGACAACTTGGATGAGTTTTGCACTTGCAAATGAATGATATGTTGGAACAAGCGTTGTAAAACATGTGCTAAGTCAAGTTAAACATAATTTATTATCAATTTGAATTATACATGTATAAATAAGAGGAAAAATTACATATGATGAACATTCTAAAACAAAATTTAAATAATTTGATTGCCATATTGGTATTTCTGTTTCTAAATTAAATAGTAATTTTACAATGCACCTTAAAGATCCTGTAACACATTTTTTCATGGTTTTATTTCATAAATATGATGCTCAAATTAAGATTTGTCAATCTTGTAAGTTCAAATAAGCATTATTTATAAAGATATTACCCAATTTAACATTTTGCGTAAATAAAGGGAGGTAATTAGAAATTTATTTTTTATAAATTCCAAGTCAAATTTTCCAATAAGAAATGAATGCATGTAACTTATTGATTAAATATAATGTGCACAAATATTTGCAGTACACATTTTACATATTCTTGGATGTTTGAAAATTGTTTTATTTGCATAATTATATACATATATAATATTTTGCAAGTGTGTGATACATACAGTAACAATATCAATCACAAAACATACAGGATCTTTAAATATGACAATAAGTGTAACTAAAACTGGACATTACTGGACATTTGCAGTATTTAAGTATGGGAATGGTGGGAACAATATAAGGGATTTAACATGGAATGCACAAATAAATATGAAATATTTGGGTTATTTTTGCTCAAGCCATGAGCACGATTTGAGCTAAATCTTTGTAGTTCATTTTCTTCACATCATATGGTTTTCTCAAAGTGAGCTCTTTTGGTATTAGTGGCTCTGTGACATTGCCTGTTTTATAAATTATACCGGTACTTAAATGTTTGGGAAATTTGATGGTTCACTACTGGCATGGACCAAATTGTTTCTCATTTAAGTATCTAATATTTGTGTTCCAATTACACTAATAATTATAAAATGTTTGACTAGAAATTTAAGTTAATCCACCCTTTAAATGACTCATTCCTTGGGGTGCAACACTATAGTTAAAACCCTTAGGTCTATGTACTGCCATATATTACAATACAGTCAAACTATATTTTAGCATGTAAAGTACAAAGCTTTAAATGTTTAAAACTAAAAAAATTACACATTATCACAAGTGCTATTTAATCAGGTTTGAAATGTCTGTATAATTGTATAATATTAAAAATATTCAAAGTTAGAATTTACAAACAACAAGATATGTTTGTAAAACATGTATGCCCCCTATCAGCAGCCAATTAGTCATGTGATAAGGTTATTATGCATGACTTCTGACCCAGTGATCAAACAATTAATAAGGGTTATCAAGTATCTACTGGTCATGACCTTAACCTTTGACCCCTTGACCCAAAACTCAATAGGGGTCATCTGTTGGTCACGACCAATCATCATACAAAGTTTGAAGTTCCTAGGCCTAAGGGTTTTTAGTTAATTGATCAGAAACCGTTTTTACCTACAAGATCAATGTGACCTTAACCTTTGACCCCTTGACCCCAAAATCAATAGGTCCTCTGCTAGTCATGACCAATCACCATACCAAGTTTGAAGTTCCTAGGCCTAAGGGTTCTTTAGTTATTGATTAAAAAGCGTTTTAACATACAAGGTCAATGTGACCTTGACCTTTGACCCCAAAATCAATAGGGGTCATCTGCTGCTCATGACCAATCACCATGCCAAGTTTGAAGTACCTAGGCCGAAGCGTTCTTTAGTTATTGAACAGAAACCGTTTTTACTTACAATGTCAATGTGACCTTGACCTTTGACCCCTTGATCCCAAAATCAATAGGGGTAATCTGCTGGTCATGACAAATCACCATACCAAGTTTGAAGTTCCTAGGCCTAAGCGTTCTTAAGTTATTGATCAGAAACCGTTTTTACTTACAAGGTCAATGTGACCTTGACCTTTGACCCCTTGACCAAAAACTCAATAGGGGTCATCTGCTGGTCACGACCAATAATCATACAAAGTTTGAAGTTCCTAGGCCTAAGCTTTTTTAGTTAATTGATGGGAAACCGTTTTTACCTACAAGGTCAATGTGACCTTGACCTTTGACCCCTTGACCCCAAAATCAATAGGTCATCTGCTGGTCATGACCAATCACCATACCAAGTTTGAAGTTCCTAGGCCTAAGGGTTCTTAAGTTATTGATTGGAAAGCATTTTTACCTACAAGGTCAACGTGACCTTGCCCTTTGACCCCTTAACCCCAATATCAATAGGGGTCATCTGCTGGTCATGACCAATCACCATACCAAGTTTGAAGTTCCTAGGTCTAAGGGTTCTTTAGTTATTGATCCGAAACCGTTTTTACCTAAGAGGTCAATGTGACCTTGACCTTTGACCCCTTGACCCCAAAATCAATAGGGGTCATCTACTGATCATGACCAATCACCATATCAAGTTTGAAGTCCCTAGGCCTAAGGGTTCTTTCGTTATTGATCGGAAACTGTTTTTACCCAAGAGGTCAATGTGACCTTGACCTTTGACCCCTTGACCCCAAAATCAATAGGGGTTATCTACTGATCATGACCAATCACCATACCAAGTTTGAAGTTCCTAGGCCTTAAAGTTCTTTAGCTATTGATCGGAAACCGTTTTTGCTTACAAGGTCAATGTGACCTTGACCTTTGACCCCTTGACCCCAAAATCAATAGGGGTCATCTACTGATCATGACCAATCACCATACCAAGTTTGAAGTTCCTAGGCCTTAAAGTTCTTTAGTTATTGATCGGAAACCGTTTTTGCTTACAAGGTCAATGTGACCTTGACCTTTGACCCCTTGACCCCAAAATCAATAGGGTTCATCTACTGGTCATGACCAATCACCATACCAAGTTTGAAGTTCCTAGGCCTAAGGGTTCTTTAGTTATCACTCGGAAACCATTTGGTCTACGGACCGACGGACCGACAGACCGACGGACCGACGGACCGACAAGTGCAAAGCAATATACCCCCTTTTCTTCGAAATGGGGGCATAATAAAAATAAAAGTGTTTATACATGATAGTTTATTGATACATGAAAATATAAAAGAAATTTTGACATAGGAGGGTCCCTTGTATGGAAATACTAATAACATGAAAATACAAGCCTTTGGTTTATTAGTTGGATTGTGTACGAAGCTATAATAGCTTATAAGAAGCTTATAGACACAATTTCCAATCTGTTCCTGGAACCAACTAGTAGTGAACAATGAATGTCAAGTTTCTTGACAAGGCAACAATGACCTGCCCCTGACATGGTTTGAACTCATGCGGCTAGCAATAATTAAGGCTTAACTTATCAACATGTTAACCACTCGGGCCATGCCGCCATTTACAGGCTGTCCAGCACCTTCTGACAAATAATTAGGGCAAATTTTAGGGCATAATTCAAAAAAATTTAGGGCTAAAATTAGGAATTTTAGGGTAAGTAAAAGAAATTTTAGGGCTAAAATTTGGATTTTCTAACTAAATTATGGCCCCCAAAAGACCATGATATGGGCTCAACTTTGCATATTTGGCACAAAAGAAGCTCTTAAGTTCAGTTAAAGCAAAGGTGTCTACCAGTGTTCCATAGTCACCAGTAAATAAATGGACTCACTGGTCAACTGCCTTTAACTGCCTACTCTGAATTAGAAGAGCTGAAAAACTACATTAAAACATAACAAGAATGAAAACATTTTCAAAGATATAAGAATCCCAGAACAACCAATATTCAATTAGTTAAGCTGTTTTTAGCCAATAATAAATGGAAGGGGAAATTATGCTTTAAATTCATTTTAGCTATAAATGCATTTATCAACATTTATTCATTTTAAGGTTGGTACATTTTCAACAAGTCTTGATCTTTCTTAGAAAAACTCTTGATCTTTCTTAGAAAAACAATAAAAACGATATGACCAACTCAGGTCATTCCCAGGAATATTTTAACCTAACTTCAAACAGAACGGTTAACACAACTGAAGAATTTGTTCAAGATTCATCAGGGCTACTAAAATATTTAGAAAATTTCACAACAGTGTCAGTCTATTCAAAGATTTTCAACATTTTTTTCCAGATTTTAAAAAACTTACACTGAATGTGATACATTTTTTTATGTACAGTGCATTGCATTGATATGACTAATGTTAATGTGTACAAAAAGGGCAGCTGAAGGTGTCACTTCTTAGTACACTTATTGGGTCGCAAAATGGTAAAAGCATCCAATCATTACAGCCAGTTTACCCTACCCACTTTATAATATTACCAAATATGGAAACTTGTCTAAATCTGCCAGCTGGTATCACTTACAAAATATCTAATATACAGTCATCACTTGAAAATAACTTTATTACAAATTAATAATTTATTAATGAGGACCCCTACATAAAGTATGATGAATATTTAGTGGTACACTGTACATCATATAAATAGTTGTTTACCGATGTACATGGTAAAACTCTGTTAAGCCATTACTATATAAAAAATTTAACTTGCATGGAAATTCTTTTATCTCTATTTTTAACAACTGACTATTCTGATATAGTCAAAGTCAAACAAATATTATTGTTCAATTGACAACAGTTT